TGATCTTAAGTCAGTAAAATAGCGTGCATTCGTTTGATAATTTATGTAATGGTTAAGATCATGAGTCAGTTGAAGCTAGACCACCCTGGAAAACCTGGAAGCACTGCACGGCCGTTTCGTCCTATTGTGGGCTTCACGAGGTATATCCTAGAGTTCTAGTGAGAAGCAGTGCCCAGTGGAGTTCAACCAGGTCTGTTGTGAGATAGTAACTCACTGAAGACAATGGTGAATGTGTCGCTCAATTTTGTGGATTAGTTGAAGTTAGACATTAACACCGTTGGATGCCGGTCGGCTCAGTGGCCTAGTGGTTAAGTGCTCGCGCGCGAAACCAGTGGGTCCTGAGTTCGAATCTCGCAGGGGGCGAGGTCTTGGATGCGCGCTGCTGAGGTGTCCCACAATAGGACGAAACGGTCATCCAGTGCTTCCAGGTTTTCCAGGGTGGCCTAGCTTCAACTGATTCATGAAATTACTACAATCTCCACAAAACCCATCTGATATTTATATAACGAACTGTTTGATTCAGAGATAAACATATCTGAAATATGGCACTATAAAGATTCTTCATTTCATTTAACGTCAAACTCAGTATGTCAAAATTCATTAAAGTAACATGTAACTCTAGTAATTTCTTTATCTCAATATATTCTATTATCATTTAGGACAAAATAAACTTCTAGTTTATTTGGGTCTATTAATGTTTACAACTATTATTATTATAAATCCGAATGTTGGAAAATCTGGTACTTAGTTACTCAGGAACAGATAACGATAACAATATATGTGACATCTCAAGCTTATGACGTATATGTTACATTCAAATCATTGCCGATGATGAAATCGTAACGCTTCTGTTTTCTAACATTCTATATGAATGCATTTCTCAGTATTTTCGGTGAATTTTCTCTTTATTTATTTTGTGAATATTGTATATAATAGCATATTTATTACTGAGGATTTTTTAATGCCTTCACTTTCATCCTGTCTACTTTCTTCATCCTCCTTTACAGTGGAGTGTTCACCAAAGACATATGTAGATATCTTTACATGATTAAAATGAAATCCATGATAAAAGTTATTCCCTTAGATCCAGCACTTACTAAATGAACTACAAAAATGCTCGAAAACGTTGGATACTTTGCTTTTATTGGACACTGAAAAAGGGATAGTTAACCTCATATTTCTTAATGCAGATAAAAACCTTAAGAATTATACCTTATTGAGTTACGAATTATGAGAGTTCGGTCTACCAGTTTTATGAATAAATAATATCACTCTGTAATTATATGTATCACAAAATATATTGACAATAATAATAACGTTTCAGTCGTTTATATTTCTAAATAACACTTTTTCTGATGGAGTCTATCTGAAGATTGTGCTGATGATCTCGTTCAGATGAACAATGAAAGCTCCACGACCAAACCATTCAGCTCAGAGAACAAAACTCCATCAAAATCATCCACTTGAACTACAAATCTTCTTCACCATCTCTAAATAACACTGTTAGCTGGTTTTTGTATTGTTTCATTTCTCTTAGGACCAAACAAAGAAAACAAATTGTAAGAAAAAGAAAACAACAAACTGTATATTCGTTTTGATTTTCTCAATAGATTTTTTAATCCTTTCTAACTACCCCTCTACACATACACATACATACACATGCACACAAACACACTTTCTAACCTTAAAATAACAAGAAATCACGTTTAAAGTACATATAGATTGTATACTCAATGAATAGAAACACAATGGTTTATTTTTCGAAAGGATATATATATATATATATATATATATCTATTATTGAAATGAAAACAAATGAGAGAAAAAAGTAAAGTCAGAAGAGGAAGTCAATACCTCCTTACAAACTTGAATATCCAAGTCCAGTTATTTTAGGAAACGGTGTACATTTAATGAAAAAACGTTGTAATTTTGAATAATTTGAAAATGAGTTGGTTTACAGTATACAATACGCATATCATGAATAGCAAATCACTTTTGAATAAATGGATTTGTAGTGAAGGTCAACATTCATTGATGAGTTATGTGTCAATCTAAATTCTTTTTATGATGATTTAAGTTGATCGTTGAGTACCATTATAGTACAGAACCAGTACGTTACAAGTAGACTTATAGAATTAAAATGTTTTGTGGATTTTAGTGGCTTGACATCTGACTTCAAATAGCTCACTTGCTGCTTGTTATTGAATTATTCATGTCGGCTATCCTCATATCTAATCATCGACTTAAGTAGCGTCGGTAAATAATAGGATTAAATAAGTCAAATACGAGAATGGATTTTTGAAGACATATATTTCGTACAGTCGTTTAGTGGAAAGCGAAGCAAAATGAAATAATACGCATTGGAGAAGGCATGTTAGCCAAATCGACTTAATCAAGCATGAATCGATATTTTTAGTCGAACAAAAATAAGTTGCAGACATGTAATGAGTAGGATAAGAAATTCACACACATGCGATCATATAAAAACAGTCAAGTTTAATAAACGAATAATTGACAAGGTCAAAATGTGACTCAAGAAGAATGAATAAATTGCCTTGTCCGGAATCTAGAATAAGCTTTGTTGGTTTAACATAGAAACCAACACTACATGATGGAATAATGTAAAATTTCAAACTGGGATAAAGTTGGTTTCTCTAGTTATTTGTTTTATCATATAGCTTTAAATATAATAAATAACTGAGTCCAGTATTGAATACTCTAAAACATTAAAACCCAAATTGTTTGACTTCATACTTGAACAAAAGATTATAAGTTATTTGTATCAGTGTTTATTTGATTTGTTTACCTCAGTTCAGTTATAAGTTCAGTCAGACTCGCTCGCATACATTTAATGCTGACCGGTTAACTGTCATAGTCAACGTACTGTGATCGAGCTACTTAGATTAAGTTTTCATTCTTAGTGTGGTGTTTATATTAGTTGCTAAATGTTTTATATTATTGCTGTTCGTTTCTCTCATATTCGATCGAATCCACAAACTTGTGTTCAGGATTTTTTCTTCTGGTTCATTAGTAACCGCTATTAGAAATAACAATAACAGTAAATTGATAAACTGGAAAGTGTTTCGAAACATCGAAGTGTATGTATGATGAGAAACGTCAAATATATAGGTGTGATGTCAAAATTTTCAAATTAGTTTTTAATCAGAATAAAGCTACGTATGATGCAGACAGAGTAAACAAGGATAAGATCCAAATTAATTGTTAATAAGCATTTGCCAAATGGTGGCTAGCTGTATTCAATCCTTCCGTTCAGGCTGTTTTGATTAGTTTAGTACTTTTGCTGTCAATCTTTATGCGTGCTAAACCCTTTTTGAAGTATTTTGGTCCTTTCAAAGTTATTCTTGTATTCTGTTTTTAACGAATGTAGCATAATCAATGATCTATTCTCAAATTTCTTAAGATCAACTGATGATTTGGAAACAATATTCAATGAGTGTCTGTCTGGAAGTTTCCCCCACATAAACATTGTATTCATAATAATTGATCTCATAAACAATGTCCTATTTCTCTTCTTCTAGTATTCTGTCCTAAACTGTAACTAACGTCAATCATGTGATATTGCTATTCTGGAGATAAACCCTTATAATATGTTTGATTAAAATTCTATTAATTTACATCACTGTTTTTGGACGATATGGGATGACAACGATGTTCTTTCATTCTCTCATTATATATTCTAATTTAGTTTTTCTTCCATTTATAACAATCCTTGAAAATTCTTTAGGGTTGTTAATTCCGTCATTCGGTTGTAATGAGATTACAGCTGATTTTGATTAAATTTTTATGACTATAAGCTTTTGTGTTGATTCTAGAATTTTAATGGTTGAATTCATGAGTCGACCTAAGCTATATAGATAAATAAACATTGGTAGAAAAAAGATGAGAACTTATTAATAAGTGGAATATACTCATTGAGACACAAGATAAGAAAAAGGGTTCTAACTTTATGAAATCATATAAAACTTTGAGGTTACAATCTAATCATGAATGTGCACAGCTGAAGAGTCCTGTACCAGGAACAAATGGCCTTGAAGTGCTTCCAGGTTTTCAGTGATGATTTAACACCGATCGATTCATGATTTCAATGAAATATAATTTAATAGTTGGCTTACTGCTTGAAAGGTTATCATATCATGGAGATTTTAAATACATGGTTGTATAATTAATAAATATTTTCACTGGTTGAAATCATGAGTCAATTGAAGCCAGACCACCATGGAAAACCTGAATGCACTGGACGACCGTTTCGTCCTAATATGAGACTCCTTAGCAGTGCGCATCCACGATCCCGCCCCCCGCGAGATTCGAATCCAGTGGAGTTCAACCGGGTCTGTCGTGAGATATCAACTCACTGAAGACAATGGTGTACGGTGGTGCAACTTCGTGGATTGGTTGAAGTTAGACATTAACACTATCGGATGCTGGCTCAGTGGTCTAGTTAGTTAAGCGCCCGGCGCGAAACTGATAGGTCCTGGGTTCAAATCTCGCAGGGAGCGGGATCGTGGATGCGCACTGCTAAGGAGTCCCATACTAGAACGAAACGGTCATCTAGTGCATTCAGGTTTTCCATGGTGTTCTAGCTTCAATTGACTAAGGATTTCAACCAGTGAGATTTCTAAAATCTCCACAAAACGCATTCTGATAATAAATATTTTAATGAAATAATTCCATAATTTCAGAATAAATCGAAGTTTAATTTGTTATTTTCAAAATCATTTAACGATGCAGTCAATTTTGAATTATTTGGTTAAGTGTTTGTTCCTTTGAGTGTTCTAGTTTCCAGATAACTAAATGATAATGTACGTGAAACCTTAAAAGTAAATCTGATCCAACATTTGACCAAACTTATTGATCATTTATGCATCTAATGTTGTTATTTTATTTCTCTTTGTTTTACAATTTTAAATGATTCATAACAATCTTTCTCATAGAATTTCGTAACTTATATATAAATGTTTCTTTGGAAAACATATATTTAGATAAAATTCAAATTGAAAGACAAGTACAAGTTGTCGGTCACAATTTTCAAGTACACAGTTATCGATCACCACATTTTTGTGATTATTGTGGGGAAGTATTATTTGGTTTGGTACGTCAAGGTCTACGCTGTTCGGGTAAGTGTTTATACTTTAACTATATATAAAAATAAAATACTTAACTCCCTTTGTTCTATATATATATATATATATATATATATATATATATATATATATATATATATAAAGAGAGAGAGGTAGATCAAAGTTACAGTTATTAGTTTTATGAAGAATTAAAATGGCTAATAGTTTTACTACTGTATAAATGAACTTTATAAATGCAAATAATTTAAGTTGCCATGGTTCGGTAGACTTCATACAACGTTTGTTAGGTCAAAAATACACTTTAAAATCCCGTTTTACTTGATCCTACTATTAATTAGTTTGGAACATTTGGTAACATTTATTAAGTTGAGATTTCCAATTAGTTTATTTGGATATAGATATCAGATTGTTGTATATACTGAAGTAATTAACTTCTAATAAAATTGGCAACCATCTATTAGTACATTCTGCTTTGAAGGTCATTACTTTAATATTATTATTATTATTATTATTATTATTATTATTAGTGGTTTTATTCAATATTATATACAATATAGAATTCTCAGCACAAAGTATTTCAACAAGTTTCCGATTCTTATTTCTTGATCGATCCTCACGATAGATATTTAATGGTTGCCAATTAGATGTTAGCAGTTCAGGAATCGACATCTAAATAGCGTATATTCTTTTCGCTGTATAGTGACAGCAACCAGGATGTCTCTGATTGTACTTTTTTGTTAATCGTACAATGAAAGGTCATAAAAGTACCTGAATAGATTGCCTGGTTAATAAGCATAATGATGTGTTAAGACAAACAAAATCCGATAACTTGTCGAAATATCTAGATGGCAGAAACAAGTAGCCCAGATACTCAAGCGGGCAGTTACCAATTTAAGATACCCGCTAATTTCTGTAATGAATTTAAGCTTATGTTCAGTAGCTTGTATTTTTCCATTCTTGATTCTAAGAAAAAAAGTTTCAACATGGCAATATTTAGGCAAAGTCTTCATGACAGACATCCACCGATGGGGACTGATCCATCTCAGTCTTTAGTATTAAATAATAGCTATTGTAAATTATCTAGATTATCTTGAGAATTATATTTTATCTTCACTGAAGTATTTTATAACCAACCTATCTTATTCAACTTTAACAATAACTGGATATTAAGTGTTCTTATTTTAATCTTATCATTATAATGGTATATTGATATTATTAAATGGCTGTTCCAAAAAAAAACTTCTCTTCAACATTCAAATATCAGAGGGGGTTTTTTGGAGATTTTAGAAATGTCATTGATTGAAATCATGAGTCAATTGAAACTAGATTATCATGGAAAACCTGGAAGCACTGCTGAGGAGTCCCATACTAGGACGAAACGGCCGTCCAGTACTTCCAGGTTTTCCATGGTGGTCTAGCTTCAATTGACTCATGATTTCAATCAGTGAAATATATTAATGTAGGAAATAATCGATTGAAGTAAATTTCAGTGATATTTCTCAATTTTTTTGTCTTTCCTATATTCCTAACTTCTTTACAACATTATTAGAACTAGATAAATTATAGTAAAAAAAGGGGGATTAATTTGCGTGTTTCAATACTTAAAATACCATACTTATATGATGTTGCTAACGAATATGCAAAAAGAATTTTTCATATTATATAAATAAATTCCTTGTTATATTTTACAATTAAACTCAGTTTTACTTTATGTAAAGAATAAAATAGTGAAGGTTTTTAATTTCAAATTTATCAAAGATTTTCATAACCAATGACATGCAATTTGTGATTATTATTATTATTGCTGTTTTTGTTTCAGAGAAATATTAATCTTATTTTCACTTGGTATCGTTTACTTCAATCTTCCCATTGATGATTAAGAGTACAATTGATCAATCTCTTATAGCTTATAATGCTTGTGAATTAAGGCAATATCGAGGTAATGCTCACAGTATACATATATGTCAATAAGAAACAGATCGATTATAGTCATAAATAGCAATGGGAACATTCAAGTAAACAATATCAAGTGAATTTAAAACTTCACCCCATTGCACAAGCATTGCACAAGCAGGTGGATATTAGGACTCAGTAGATGAGTGGATAATGCGATAGTGTTTGAAGTGAACGGTACTGGGTTCGAGTCCCAGAGTGAACATCAACTGTGAGATGCAGGTAGATCCAGCTGACGAGTCCGACGTGCATCCTGGATTCCACTGTTAGCCACTATTCATCTTTGCTTATTAATCTTATGTGTTTCAGTCCATATTCCTCAATTTTGTTTATTACTATTGCTGTTGTTGGAAAAAATACTGAACAAGATTAGGTGTTGAATAGAATTATTAGTCGATGATATCAACTGTGAAATTCAACATTCTCTACAATCCTTCTCTAGTGTTAATATGCGTACTAGTAAGAAAGAAGGTAAATTTCCATAAACTATTTTAGTGGAAGTCACAACATGAAAATTAGGATAGAAATACGAAGATGGTTATTTATCACAAATTCACAACAGCCAGAAAATCTTTGAAATTCAGAAATCATAGAATAGTTTTGTCCTAATATAAGGTTCATTAGTAGAGCATATCGAAACTCTGGAAAGAATTGAATTCAAAAACCTTAGATACTACAGTTAGCTCCTTAATTTAAGATCATTGGTTTGGAATCGAGTGATTTGTACTAATAACATTATTCCATTTCCGATACACTGTAATAATCATGCTAGTGGGTAATCGCTCTACACTTGGTCTAGCTAAAAACTATTTGTGAATTGTGATCAGATTCGTGGGAATCCGCGTCAAAGTTAATTACAAGAGAACACATTATTACTGTTTATTTGATAACAATTCTAGAGGTCAATCTTATTTAAAGGTAGCTTTTTATTAGGGATTAGTGTTGGAGGGTTGGACCTTGATTTCAAAATGTGAATAATTAAATTCTGTTTCGATGATTTAATGGTAAGAAATGGGCCACAAGATCTAACATTCCTTGTTCCTTTCTCAAACAAAGTTGGCGTATATAGTCTCTTCTCATACTAGGACTTGCTATATGGTTTAACCTATGATAACGAACAGTCTTCAAGTCAAATTAACCCCAATAAAAAACGTAGAAAGCATGTTAGACTCCTTCCATGATTATCCATTTAAGAAACTAATGTACAGTATTTTTAATTAATGATTTTTGAATTTAATGAATTAGTGAACATAATGTACCAAGCTAATTTCAAAATCTTTATTCAGATGTCTGCAACTGTGTCATGTTAATCAGAAATTCTTAATTGTTTTAAGTTATTTGAAAAGGAATTCTATCAACTATCATCCATAGGGTGAGTCCGCTAATAAAACATTTAATCAAAGTAAGTGATTCTAGGTAGAATTGACAGAAGGAAAAATAAGTCTGATTGTTATTTGTAAATAATCTTAATGTACAAGTAAATGAGCAGTATCAGATCTTTTGTACATAATACAATTTCATTGTTTGTGTTATATGTTTTGTGAAGATTTTATTTAGCGATTTTATCATTAAATAATAACAATTAGGAAGTCAGTAAGAATCGAATAGCGTTAAATAAATTGTATTGGTCGGTATTCGATATCCTACTTAAACTTCTTAAACAATTCGTCCTGATAATCGTTACTTGATAATGTCCCCAATGGTGTACAAATCAGAAGACGAGTACGAAGTGTTGATTGCGTTTATCATTGAACGACGCATAGGTCACCAATATCACAGACATGCTAAAGAATAATTGAAGGGCTAATGCCGAAAAGCGAGTTAGCGAGTCAAAATGAATAGGATTAAAATGTACGTATATATACATAGGGAGATGAATGAATAATCGAATCAATTAAGCGACAAACATTAAAGCTAACAGAATAAATAAGCGCGTAGGTGGTAAGCAATGCTCAGGTATACATATTCATACAAGCGCAACAATAATAAAGGCACAATGGCATAGATAAGTTGTTGTTATTGTACGAATAACTCTGTTTGTTAAATGACTTAAAAAAAGGGCTTAATCAAATTAAATGTGAACAAACTCAGTTGCACATAAGCTGCTATAAAACGTTTAATATTAGTTTCAGAAGTACTAACAGTCTGCAACCGTAGAGTGGTGGGCGATTTGACTCCGAGAACTTAGATTTCATGGTACTATTAAGAAATTGAACTAAGATGTAATTATTCACATTTGCTTATTTCAGACATTTCAAATATGGTACTTGTTTGTGTCTAGCATTAAGATTAATTTCCCGACATTGAATTGTAAGTCCACAAGCTCTGGGATTGATTCTGTCTAGAGTGAGACAGATACCATATTATATAATCAATAAAGTTGGAAAATGTAATATCATGTGATTTCGACTCATCATTTCAGCATAATCAGTCTTTAATTCAAGATCTGAATGTACTGAATTCATTTTAATCATGCATTAATGAGCAAACAAACAAACAAACAAACAAACAAACAAAAACTGAGGATTTCTAAAAATGGAAATAAACAGTTAATCATTATCTCACTAAGATTGGTTAATGATCATACTCTCCTTCAAATTACACTGAAGCATAGAGATTTGTAGATATGGATACAATTTGTCTTAGCTATTCATATATTTTTATGTAAAAAAAAGTCTTTTCTTGCGTAACAAGATAAAAGAATATAAATATTAAAGGATAAAAGGGGAAGGATAATTTAACACTTTGTCGTTGCATTTTGTACTTCATTGTGAAAAAACCATCATGATCATTAGAAATTATTCTTTGTTTACTTTTAAGAAAAAGAAAATACAACAACTTATTGTTGCGTATAGTCATTAATATAGTTGTTGAATAAGTAGACATAATGTCTGCTTATATATAGTTGTATATATTATAAGCTCTTCTTTTCATATCTATATGTTTACATGTAATTCATTGTACATAAGTAGCAATAAGTAGTAATTAGATTTATATCATAAGTTTTTAGAAAAAAAATATCAATCATTATAGATACTTAAAAATTTCTTCTTACTTATAGTAGAATTATAGATAGATTC